GAATCCCAACAATGTCGTTGAAGAATGGCATAAGCATTGAGATTATAGTTGTTATGATAACGAATACCGTTCGCCAAACTAAACGAAAAAGGTTGAGTTTGAAGGACTTAAAGCCGGGAATTGGGATTTCGACTTCTTTTGTGATGAATTTACTGTCTGGAAATTGTTTTGATGCTGTTTTTTCAACGAATGCGAAAAGGGGTTGACAGTAAACTTGGTATGCACCAACAAGGTGGATAACTATGGCTGCATTCGCGATGTCGAGTAGCCAATAAGGGTTGAAGAATCCGAAACCTGTTAGGAGATTTCCAGGTGACAAGTCTCCAAATGCTGCATAGCCGAAACAGCCACAGAACATGTAGAAAAGGGTTGTTACTACTACACTTAAGAGTGTAGCCTTCTTCATTGTTTTGTACTCTGATGGTGGTGACTTTATTGTATTCTGTGATGGGAACAGATGAAATTGAAATCAGTTTCTACACTTTTTCCTGAAGGAGGATACTCAACATGTTAGCTACAAAATTACATGGATCGACATAGATATCATCATGACTACTGTTGGATTATGTGGTGCCTAATAGTACTATATACTTTTACTGGATTGACTTAAATAGGCCTAGTATCCATTGTTTATGGCGATATTTTTATATACTATAGGTTATATTGGACATTCATATATGTACGAGGTGTCACTAGTATTCCAATAATAAATGATTTAATAGTGGCCGTTTTTCAGTAGTGTGAGATCGCCATTATAATTTTTCATCTCCGTTACAGTTATCACATTGAGAGCGAAACATTATAAATCTGTATATTTGCTCATATGTCTTTCTAGTTTCCTTTTGCTTAATATTCTCCGCACGATTGGGATTAGGTTTGCTCCCTTATCTAGACTCTAGCTCTCGTCTCTCAGTTACGAGGATTACCGTAGGAAAGCGAAATTATACCTGAATTTCAATAAGAATAAGGGAGTAAGAATAAGCAAAAGCTATGGCTCCAAGTGCTTGAAAACTTCTCCATATTTTCTCCATTGGAGTCACATATCCAATGCTTATTCCTGTAAGACTTCCCCGAATTTTCCCAGTTTCTGCAATAAAATGCACAAATCTTAGAACAAAATTTGACCCCAAAAAAAAAAAAAATTAATAAATTTATAAATTGTTTAGAGATTCTCTTTTCCTACCTGCAACTTTGGCAATTCCAAGTCCTAGTCCAACACTTGAGTAAGTAAAGGACATAACTGCTGCAACAATTGA